AATTTTATATTATATAGCTCGATAGTAATATATTGAATTAATTTTTAATATTTTTATTATTTTATTTAAATATATAAGGATGATTTATTAAAAAATATTTATATTTTAAATTTTTTTCAAACGATTATCTTATTTTTAATTCAAACCACTACTCCTCTTCCTTGGTTGTCACCTCATCTCATCCTTCCCCTCTCCTCTCTCGTTGCTTTATCTTTCTGCTTCATCTTTTCCTCTCCTTCCCAATAGCTCATCCTCTCCTTTCTCCCTCATTCTTCCCTTTTCTTCCCCATTCTTTCTTGTCATCTCTTCTCTTCTTCTCCTGTCGTTGATGATAAACAATGACAATAAGTGAACAATGGGTTATCATAGATTTAACTAGTCTTACCTAACTCATGTGATACCTTTGCATGTCTATCTACAAAAGTCAGGTTCTTCAAAACTTCTTGTGGTCCCTTGAGGACCTACAAAAGAGAAGATAGATTAGAGAAATCATTTAACTGGGTATTCACTAATAGTCATTTCAACAAACACTTAATAGGCAATACGAGTTATAAATATAGACTTCGCAAACTCTAAACAATCACTCGACAAAAAGTCCAAGATGATCCACTGTAGTAAAAAGTCCTCACAAGTTCTCATGTGATACTATTGTGAAACAAAGCAATGAACTAGCCCTAAATACTACCACAAAGACTCATCTAGCTATATGTCACCTAGGTAACTCTTGGGTATTGTGCAAGCTGACACTCCACACCACTTTATGGGGTTACAAAACCTCCCAAAAAGACTGCTTAGATGACTTATTTCTGGGCAATTTTACCTATACACGATAATTACACATAATATATATTTACAAGCTTAAAACGACTATTAAAGCCAACCAAAATAGGGCTACCAAATCTAATATAAGTCATCTAATATTGTGTAAAGTATGAACAAAACCGAAAGGCACAGATATGCATGAGCATTATATCAAACACTATATTTATAACTTTATCTATAATATTCTCTCATACTTATTTCTTCGACGTCTTCGTCGAAGTCTTTAGGATGCTGCATATTCTAACTTTTACTTAATCTTTAATCTTTTACTCTAGTTACAATGTACATCTTGGCTCTTAGTTACTTTTTGTCATTGTTTTTAAGTAGTCAAACTTTAATCTATTTTAGTACTTCAACTCGTCAATGACTCAAACACTAGTATAGAATCGACCAAGTTATATTGATCCTCATCAGTTTCTATAGATAGATGAAGGAACTGGGTGGATGCCTATTGGAACTTTAATACGCATTACCTCACATGCTTTAAAGTTTTAGAGGTCTTTCCTTTACAAAATATGTCCATCAATTCATCTCCACTTAGTTATTATTTTCAATTAGGTTCTTATCACTTCTACTTTTGATTAATATTTTGTTAGAAAATGAAGTGGACAATCTACTATTGATAGCAATAATCATCATTGGTGAGATTATGAAAACTATCATCTTTCACTTTATTTGAAAGATATTTAAACATGTGTAAAGCTCCTCTATAGGATAAATAAGAGAACTAGGAGATTCAATTTCGTCCGTTCTCTTAAGAATTGATAAAGTGAAAGTTAATTGACTTCGCCCACATCTTCAAAGGTTGTACTTCATGTATCGAATTGGTTACTAACATTCATTTACTCTTTGCTCACACTTGTGAAGCACCCTAAGTATTTATACTTTTTGCATTATGTTAGCTATTACGATCTACCTTTTGTTGAAAAGAGAAAATTCTAAGTAAGCCCTAATTCCCAAGGTGTGACCACGCCGCCAACATCATGGGGTTCATGCAGCTTTAAAGCTTTCATGACTGTGCTCGTGAAGTAGATCCGATTACTTAAGAACTGTTAAATCATATACATCATTAGACATACCACAATTAAAGATTAGAATATATCTTAAATTAGTACAAGGGACCAATCTAATTATTAGTGTGGTCCATTGTGAAGAGGCCATGTGGTTTACTCATTCGGACCACTTCCCTACCATCACCTAAAGCTATCAGACCACTTCCCATGCATCGCCTGCAACCCCACGACAAGTTGCAATGTCTCCTTTAGGTTTTACACAGTTTTGAGGGATCAGCTAACTTTTTGAAGCAAACAAAGGCTAAGTCAGCTAAAATGTTGCTCTTTCTAAGGGAGCAGGTTTTCTTTTTTACCCACTGGTGAAACCATTGATCCTTGTAGGCCAACAAACACTCGAGCTATAGTTGTTGAAGAACAAGTTGTCACTGTCTGAAATATGATGATGGTAAGATCTTTTTGTCAGCTTAAGCTTTTCAGTGCATTTATCAGTGATCCAGATTTCTGATAATAACATGCTCAACAGAACTGACGAAATCATCTCTTATTTAAAGTCTATATAGAAACATCAAACGACAGCAGTTCAAATCTGACACCAACATGCATGGTGATCTCAGGTGAACAGATGTGCTACTGCTCTTTGCAACATCAACTGCAGATAGGTTCTACCATATGTGGTGTAGTTTTAAGCATGATATGAGCTTATATCAGGCTTCCTCTGTCGATTCTAACACCATCTTCAGTTAACTTTTGAGTGCAACCATTACCATGCTTCTTATATATAGCTGAATGTTCACTTTTGAGTGCCATGGCAGCCAGCAGTCTCACACAGAGGTACATCTTCTGCCTTCTGCTTCCAGGGCAAAGGAAAATTTTACATCCAGTACCTAGAAGAAGCTTGTAATGGCTATACATTCATAATCGATATGAAACATGTTCTAAGTTGTCTGCAAATGCTGCTTATTTTAGATGATGATGATAGGAAGGTAGAGAGTCTGCTATGTCTGATGGTGATCTTGATGGTGGTGTTCTGATGCGGTGTTCCTTTTGTGGAGAACCATCAAGTTTGGGATTGCTGCATGGAGAGAAGTTCTGAGAGCATTTGCAGATGATTCTGAGCTTGCCATTTGAAGGTGGCTATACTGCTGGGTTTCCACTTTGGATGCAGCGGCCATGTATGATGCAAGTATTGCCACTGGATGGTGACCATGTGGCACTTCACTGTGATCATACGAGTAAGCATTTGGTGTCTCCAAATGGTAGTAGGGATTGTAGGTGATTGCACTGTTCCCCAACACAACACCATGATCCTTCAAAGCTTCTTTCTCTTTGCTCCTCGGAAGAACGTCCAAGTTGACAGCTTTCGGCATCATGCTTGTGCCTTCCGCAACGTTGCTGTTAAAGATATCTTCAGTTGCCAAACTAGACGATGATGCTAATCGTTGAGCTTTGTCTCTGTGAGTGTACTCATCATCATCACCAACGGCGTTGCCGGAGTAAGCTTGAGCCGAACCTGTCACGTGAGAGTTCGCCACGGGCTGAGGAAACCGAAAGAGATTTCCCGGTAGCATTTCGAGTGGGGGAAGCTTATCGATCTCATGCTGAGCAGCACTGAGAAGCCAATCCACAACTTTGCTAGGTTGATTGAAGCCGAGCTTATCTTGAAGGTCATACAATTGAATTGCTGTAGGCACCGAAAGCCTCACGCGCCGATCCCTCAATCCCCTTATGGTCGTGACCTTGCTGTGCCTATCTTTCCCTCCAAAGGTTCGCGAGACTCGAACAATTCTTGGATTGTTGTGTGCCGTCCATGATCTCAAACTTGGTTGAGCCTTGCTCTCGCTGGTGCCGACATCTTGCCCGGTGAATTCCCCTTCTTCTCTTGAACTACGGATCATCTTAAGATATTCTAGACATCAGTTACTAATCAATTTAGATGGTTTGTGCAGCATGTCAAAGCATGAAACAAGACTATTGTATACAACATATTCCATCAAGCATCATCAATCTGGAAATTTCTTAGTTTAAGTTGTTCTTTAAGACTCTTTTTTTCATGAATATATGGAAGAACATATATAAAACAAAAGAAAGTGAGGATCAGAGGGACACTAATTAATTAGATTTTGGTTTACTTCCAATGAATCTAGATCTCGACGAGAAGAACATGAGCTGAAGCTACTTTGCAACACTTAAATCTTTGGATAAGTAGATCAAAGATGACATCTTTTATTCGTCTCATGGAAAATATTATCCAAGTAGAATCCAGAATTAATACATGTATCTATTTCTTTTCCTCGATCAAGAAAGAACATATATATATATATGTATCTTGATCAACTTAGTAACGAAGAAGAGTGAGAAAAACTTAGTTAAGAACGCAAAATCTCGACAAAAATTCTTGAGTTCAATCGAGAATCGTCTGTTCAAGACTTGTTGCAGAATCTGAGAGTCAGCAAGCAAGCTCTCACCTTCAATCTCCTCTTCAGATTAGATAGGATTTCAACTCCAAAACCATCAGCAACTCGATCAGGCTATTATGACTGACTTCTGATGCTGGAGAGACGCCGGATCTGCACGAACCCTAGAAAACAAAAAGGAAAAGGTGTAGTCCATTTGCAAACATGTGGTGGATACTTATGCCCATCAAATGGACAGGCAAGTCACTGTTTTTATCCTTCTACATCACACACATCTTGCAACCACTGCTTTATTTACGAGGGGTAAGTTGGTCTAATCTAATGAGCCATAGATGTTTCACTCTTGTATTTACTGTCATCCCTCACAGTCATCTGTGTTAGAACAGCCACTACTCTTCACTCTTTCTTCATGGACAGCTTACTCGAATGATGCATGCCTTATGTCAAGAAAACCAGGAAAAAGGAAATAATTATTCTGAAACCATATGATCACTTTTTCTCTCTCCTGTGCATCATATGTACCTTAGAGAAAAGTTATATTTGGATCGATCATGTTCCTATTTCTGTGTATATGTATGTAGTAAAAAGAATTTGCAGGTAAAGCATGCATACTTGAAACCCTAAGAAGGTAGCAGATAGACCAGGGACCATCAGGACCTCTTTAAGACATCTACCAAAGCTCATGGACCACCAAGTTTGCCAGCCTTCCTTGGCTAGACAACTCTGTGCAAAGCAAATGGTGGCCAGTGCAGATGGTTGAAGGCTGCCAAGAAGAGATTGACATCCATAATGGCCCCTGCAATGCACCACATTGGATCGCATTCAGCATCTTGCACCGAGCCGTGAAGCATTTTACTAAGATGAGGTCTCCTCTTTCGATATCATCACACGGTTGACTAAGGTTCTTTGTTTCCAGCAGAAAGAAAGCGGTGTTCTCAAAGCTTCTAGAATCATCCTGAAGGCTTCTCGATCGAGAGGTGAGATGTTTCATCGTATACTCTCGTAGTAGCAGCAGGAGTCTCGTTGGTTCATCTGCTTCTTCGAGCTTTCGGTGTTTCCACGCATGTATACATCTGCAAGTACGCTAACTAAGCGTACATCTAAATGTATCTAAGCGAGGGTTAAAAGGACAAAAAAAGGCTCTTACACAAAGTCGAATATGGATGTTCTCCTCCAGAGTCACACAACTGCAACATACAATCTGCAGGAGAAACACTGAGCAGCAGTAGCATGGCTCCTTAATCCCTGCCAGCCAATCTGAGGAAACAAGAGGTCAAAAAAGAGAGGAGTTCAGAGCGGCTCTTTCTCACCTTATCTACAGAGAAACCCCGAAAACTCAATGCCAACTGCTAGTCTTGTTTGGAGAAGAAAGCAAAGCAAAGTTCACCACGCAGAAGCCTTTCGCCTCTCTGGGGGGCGGGGGGGCCTGAAAAGACGAGGATGTACTGATCTGAATGCTGAGACCCCAGCTGTCACATGCCAATCATTCTAGGGTTTTGCAGTGATGCATTTAGGGATAAGATTAGGGTGCCAGATTGCTGCAGAGGGAGAAGGTGGGTGGTCCAGAAAGAAAGCAGTGAAAGGGTGCGTCAGAATGCTGCATGCAGTGTGTCCTGAAACTGAGGCAGACACCAGCAGATCCAACACTGGCAGCACAGCAGCCCTTTTGTGCGCCTCCCCACCCAGCAACCCCCTTAACCTGCATCCTTCGATCAGTTCTTCATTCTATTAATCTAAATCATGTTAATAATAGTATTTTGCATTTTGATATGCACAGAAAATATACAATCAGTTAGTTAATTATCGTTCGATACACAAACAACACATAAAATTCATGAAAGAAAAATATTTAAATGATTTGTTACTGAACGTGAATAAGAGTCGAAGGGACAATTCGAATTGGTTACAAGATGTCTCTCTCGTAGAATATTCGTAATATTCGTAAGAGTCCAAGTGACAGAGATTAACTTAAGTGTCGAAAGGATCGATTTTGAAAGTTTCTTTCAGACTTCGATCTTTGTAATGAGATGCTTTTTAACTCAAACAATTTTACACGTATGAATTGGAATCGATATTTTTCCATAAATATCAACCACATGCATCGGATCGGATCAAATCGACTTGATCATCTCGATCCATGTTCAGTCCATCTCAAACGTTCTTTTTGGGTCTATATCGTGTGATTCCCTGTCCAAAAATAATCGGGTCGGGTAGGACAACTTCAGACGTGCGCATCCGCCCACCTGAGCTTAAATAATGAAAATAAATAATAATAATATAATAGCGGTTCCCTTTTTAAAGCTCTGCGCGCTCCTCTGCCCCCGCCCCGGTTCTTAGGGCTCCCGTGAAAGCGAGGCTCTTCTCTCCCCGTTTGCCCCGATCTTTTGACGTCTCCAAGAAGGTAATTACCTTTTTTTTTCCACCCGCTTTGATCCATGCATTTGCTTCCCTAAATTTGTCTATCGGAAAAGATTCCGGGTTGATTGATTTCTCCTCTGTATATTTTTGGCATCATTTCTGGTTTTTCTCGTTTAGATTTCGCTACGATTGACTATTTTTTATACGGTGGTCCTTGTTTGGTTCTTTCACGTGTTCTGAGAACGAGACTGAGAAAAAGGGACGATGTCTGGGTGGGGTTTGGAGTGTTCGGTCGGATTGCTAGCTTGGTTGGTTCATCCTCTCTTGATAAATGCTTTGGACGGAGGATTTGAGCTACCGGGTTTAAGTTTTGGTGGTTTAGGGATTTCGAACTCGTTGTATTTGGTGTTTTTAGGGGTTTAGGCTTTTGCCGATGGGGCTTAGGAGGGGGAGGAGGAGAGAGACGTGGGAGGTCACTCTATAACCCTTAAAAGAAAAGAACCGGACTGCATCGTCCGTGATGGTCCGCGTCTGGATAGGCCAAATGGTGTTCCATGTTGGAAGGAATTATTATATCGGCAGACATTGTCATGTCTATTCTTTTACTTCTCTAATTGTTCTTTTTGAAACATGGAGACTGTAAAAGATTTTTGTCCTCTGCTTGGGATATAATGTATGCATGCGTGCATACATATATTGTGTATCTACACATGTAGAGAGAGGCTTTGCCACTTCGACTTATTCCTAGTAACTGTTATTTGTGTAGTCTTTGTCTTCCAGTTTTAGTAGTTCAAAGTTTGATAAATAGTTTTAAGCTCAGTTGTCCCCCACAGAAAAAGCTGCAATACTTAATCAGTAAGGTATCATGCAACTATTGACTTTAGTTCTTTATGTTGCTCTCATATTCACACATTTTCAGGTTAGGTTATGAAAGTTAGTCCAGTGCCAGTACCAATCCATCTGCCTACAGCTAAGGGAAAGGTGGCTCCGAAGGACCCTGAGGCACCAGTGGTTGAGTCTACAATGCCTGCTTGTGCCACTGAATATTTGGTTTCTAGTAGCAACATGTCCTAGCGTTCTAATTCTCTAAAGTTGTTATCTCATATTTATATTATTCTAATGTCTGAATTTTCTAACTCAGAAGAAGGCCATTCCATCTATATTCAGAGCTCGCCTCTCAATGCGAAGGTTCATCAAGTCAAGGAAGAGTTCAAGAAATTTGAATCTATTAAACCTGGTGGTGTCCAAGTTAGAAACCACAAAAGCTTGTTAGAAATTCTCAAATTTTATAATGTACATCTGTTTGAGTGGTTGCTGACTTTTTTTCCACGCCCTTGTTACTTGCAGATTGAGCACTTTAGTATTGGCTTTGTTGAGTTGAAGTTACTTAAATCCATGGAAGCTGCATTTGAGGTATGGTAAAATGACTGTGTTCAGAATTTGTATTCATTTCCATGATTAAGCTTTTTCTATAGTAAGTGCATATGAACTTTGAAGAAATTGGCAAGATTGTCTCTTATTATTTATCAGATGGTCTTGATTCATTCCTCAATTTTATTTGGATGTGTTTGCAATAAGGCATTACTCTCCTGGAGCACAATGACCAACTATAACTGGCTCATGTAGCCACCAGTAATGCCACATCACAGGCACCACCAACATGCCAGGCCTGCAAAGAATTGAAGTATTATGGTGTATTTGTACCTTTTATTTCCATATCTCACCAGATGAAGTCAGTTGCCTTTTTTATTTTGTTATTTAAGGAACACCATGCCAGTGATACCATATCTTTCTGTATCTCACCATAAGACTTAATTGATTAATCATGCTAAGTATTTGTTTGGTATCATCTTGATTTTTCATTTTCTAAAACTTGGACACCTTTGTTATATTTTCACTTTGTTTTTATTCTTCAAAATAGAAATAAGTTTAGTGAATAAACGAAACTGGATAGGACATGAGAGGCAAAAGGTCTGAAAAAAGTTATCTGCATGGGAAGATTACTTGCAATCCTCATTGGTCATGGTTACTTGTCTCCCTTTTGAATTTTTTGGTAGGTGAATTTTGTTTTCCTTTCGAAAGAACTAAGAAAATTGTATGACACAAAAAATAAAAACATCACTATCAAACATATGCATGTCTGGATTTCAAATTTCTCTTTTGAGAAAACAGGACACTTGACTATGCCAGAAATTACCTAAATATATATGTGGAAATAACTATCATGTGAACATAAGTTCTGAACAAGGTGACAGTAGCCATAAACCTGAATATATGGGAAATAACTATTATGTGACCATATGTTCTGAACAAGGTGACCGTTTTCATAAACATGCAACTTCCCTTAAACATTTGATGCACTTTGATTGCTTGTCTGATTATCAAGAAGTATTTAATGTAATTTTATACATGTAATGAACAATTTATTAACTTCCTGTAAAGTTGAAACTGCAGTCACCTAGCAAGAGAACCAATATTTGTAGCCCTTTTCTTAGCGGAGTGCAGACTTGACGATAACGTCTTCGTAAACTTCCAGTTCTCACCGTGGACTTTGCTGTTGGTCATATTTGTTCCTGTTTATTTGTTTGCATAGAGAATCTAGTTACTCTATGTTACCATCCCATTTTCCAGAACTGGAGCTAGGAACAGCATGTGCAGATCTTAGATGAGTTTCAGATGTCCCAATTCTTTGTCCTTTCTGTAATGTTCTATTCAATGGAAAGGGTCTTTCTGGGAGATCTCTCATTGAGTCAGCGTGAGGTTATCTATAAAGTTTGTGCAAGCTAATCAACAAACCATGATCACTGTCCTTTAAGATATTAATAAATCATTCTATAATTTTCTTATTGCAAAAGATGGCATACTGTTTCTGTCAAATTGATGGTAAAATTAGTTGTTCTTCCTTTCTTTCTGATGCATTACAGTCTGATACTTACGACTGTTTGCTTCTTCAATTGCTAATGGTGTGGCCACCAATAACAGCAATGGCAGTGGAGGAGAGAATACTTCCAACTGGGGAGAGGTCGATTCAGAAATGGCAATTTCAGGGGACTTAAAAGCTTTGGGGTCAATATGGGCTCCAGGAGAAATGACTTTGTAATCAGGTTGAGTACTCTGGTTGTGACTGAGGGCCACCATACCAGGGCAATAATGGTCATCAGCAATGAGTCTTTCGGAATGGTGGGCCTAAACAACTTGCTGTTACTGCATAAAGAATATTTGTCCCCTTGTTGAGACCCCAATCTTTTGGTATTAGGATTTGTCATTTGTTGCGGTACATTACCTGTGAATTCATGATTAAATTTCATTGGAGGTTCTTCTTGCAGGGTGTAAACGAAGAGATCCTCAAGCTTAGTTTGTTCCCACACTTGAAAGTTCCTAAGGTAAATCAGTATTGTTCTGCTGTTGCTTCCTGTGGATCCACCAGTGCATTACTAGGAGAAAAGCTTTTGCCACAGGTACCACTCCAAATCTCCTAATTTCTTGATCATTTATGTTTTTTTTTTTCTTGGAATCAAGATTAATTTTAGAATGAATTGTGCTGGATCTCAAATATGCATGAGCATCTTGAGCTTGCAGATTCAGTGTTTCTTATATCTAACTCTCATACAATGTTGTCTTGTACTGTCTTGTGTCTTGTGGGAGACCCTCTCCGGAGAGGGCATCCTGAGCTCATCAAATAGATAGCTCGAAAACCACATCACTATACTCTTGCAAACTAAGTTATTTGATGATATTAATTAAAAGAACACCAAGACTAATTGTAATATATAAACTATGCTGATGTGCCAATTTTGCTCTTGATGGTTGCCGTAACATTTTTCTATGGATTAATTGCAGAGGCCTGTAGATGAGACAAACAGGATGAGGATGTTTGTTGGAGTCTTTGGCACACATCAGGGCTCTGTTTGGAGGAGTCTGCTCAATGCAAATGTCAGGTTAGGATATCTAATCTCCATGTGATTGCACCATCACCTCATCTTGCGAGTAAATAATTCTAAGTTGGTCTAATCCAGAGGTTCTAGATTAATTGCATCCTTAATTTTCGTTAATGTTGATGTCTTCCATGGAAGCGCATAAATCTGCATTATTCTTAGCTGATAACATAGTGGAAGCAATTATAGAACATATATTGAGCCGTTGACTGAGTCATTTTGAAATCTCATTCCATAATTTTTGTTCTTCCTGGGTGGTAGTGATTCAGTCAACCACTAGATAACAAAGTTCATTGATTGGTTAGTATTCTAATCCCTCTTATGCTAATGAACGACGCATCAAACTTTATTAGATGCTGGTTTAAGTGGATGAAAAGATCGACATTGTTGATCTGTGCACTGGCAACAAATCCACTGATTGATGAGCAAATCCAATGACTGAAGGTAGGATAATATAGATAATCTCATGATAATGCTACTTTATGAGCAATGACGGACAACTTGCCGACCTTTTCCCAACTGTGTCTCTATCGTTGCATTCTTCAGGCAATAATTCTCCTGGTTATCTCATCCATAAGGTGGCATCCTTCTGTTATTCGTATTATTAGCTCTTCAATAAAGCTATTTACCAGCAGCAAATTAAAATTTTGAATCGAGTCATTTTCTATTTTAAAGCTAACGTTTGTGGTTTTCATGGATATATGCACATTCTTTTCCAATAATTCATTCGTATCAGTTATTTTCTCACCCTACAGAGAGACAGCCATTGTGGCTGAACCAACCCGTACTTGGTCGGGGTGATGTGGCCTCTTTCGAGACATGGGACCCCCACAACGGCCTTGTCCGCCATTGGGATCAGGTAGCGTGAACCCTTTTCATTTTTCGCTGGTGATTCAGCACCCTGAGTATCAGCTACACTGATGAGGGGAGAGCCGGACCGCGACGGACGGACACGTGTCGTAATGACCTCCACGAAACGTGCACCTCGGACACCAGGAGACCACGTCATCGGCTCTGGCGCCAGGTGAGAGGCGCCGCGCCGCTTGGGTGGCGTTAATGCGTACTTCCCTTAAGCCACGTGCGACACTTCCCCCCGGGGTTAGGACACGTGTCCTCCCCGGCTCCGGCGCCGCTCCCTACCTTACACGTAGGGGCATTTTGGACATCACAAACACTCCTGGGGAACATGACCCTCTGGCTTCCCCTCTCTGCCGCCCGTCTCTTTCTCTCTCATGTTTGATGGCGTCCCTTCGAGTCGTATACGAGACTTCATCTTCGTGTACCCTCTCTAATATATATGATTCTGAGCTCCAGGGGGTTCTAAGATCTCTTTTTCGTGTTCTTTTCTCTGTTTTCTCCTCGTCCCATATCTTCTCTGCTTGTCCTCCTAGTCACCTCTAAACTTCGAGTCGTAGCCGACACCACCTTACGGGTTTGAAATTAATAGATAAAAAAGATCAAAACTGTGAGAAAAAAAGTTCGCTTTTTGATCGGAAATCTGTGTCTTTTGTTCCGCGGTTTATATCTGATCTTATGATGGAAGTAGAGTTGGTGAAAGGGGAGGCGGAGCTGGAACGTCAGTCGTCGGTTATCGAGAGTTTTCCGAGGGATTTGCTTCGTAGATTGTCTGGAAACAACTGCTTCAATGAGCAGCGGGAGGTTCCGAGCGGGGAGTCTGATGAGGTCGAGCTCAATCTCAACCTCGGCCTCTCCCTCGGCGGATGCTTGGGAGTGGATCCGAGGGGGAAGAAGCTGATTCGGTCATCGTCGATCGCGTCCTTCTCGTCGCTGCCGTGGGAGCACGAGTTCTCTCCGGGAACCCCGACCATGGTGAGGACGAGCTCGTTGCCGACGGAGACGGAGGAGAAGAGGAGGAAGATGAAGGAGTTGCAGGGCTTGAGACGGTTGGAAGCGAAGAGGAAGAGATTGGAGAAGAGGAAGTCGATCAAATCATGTAATCCGAAATCAGATGTGGGTATGGACGGAGGAAAGAGTTTGGCGCAACCCTGCACAGTCAACGGCCGCCTCAGCCTTCCGATCGGTAGCCAGTTCAGTGGGCTGTTCAGTGTAGCCACTCCTCCAGGCCTACGGCCGTGGACGTCAGGGTCTAAGATCACCGCAGCACAGGGGTCCGAGCTCGAGAACCAGACGCCTGCTCGAGGTACTGCATCCTTGTTGGATTTTGGTCAATTCCTGCTTGTTATCCATCGTATCGATGATGTTTTATCCTCTTTGTTATCTATATATTTTATCGATGATGAGTTGCTGAGAAAGTAAGTGTTTCTTTGTTACTTTTATTATATAGGGATAAGAGAATTTATTTATCTTATAGTGGGTAGAAGGTAAAATTCTTGAGGTTGATAGTCGTTTAGTTATGATATATTCATGATGGACGTACCGAGCGGTACACCAGGGCGTAGTTTTATGATATATTCATGATGGGCATACCGAGCGGTACACCAGGGCGTAGTTTTATGATATATTCATGATGGGCATACCGGGATGTCGTCGGACCGATATATACCGTCCGTACCAAGCGGTACCATTCGAAAGTGCATACCGATATGAAGTATGATGTAGTCTAAATTTTGTGTTATTAGTGTTTCTTCTCTATTAACACTGGCTGAATGTTTTGGGTAATTCATGTTGCTAGTTTTTTTCTAAGTATCAATTTGTAAGTCATTTTAAGTTTTAGTAGGTCTACATTCCTCAACTGGACTAATCCTCAAGCTAATATATCTTGCATGATTACCTTAATTGGTATTATGATATACACAATTTATATTTCAAGTTAGTCTGACATTTTCCTTTTGATTAACAGCCAACACTATTTTATAATCCAAACACATTATTGTTCATGTTAGCAGACTGTAGATTCTGCCAAACAGAAAGTACTGATAACAAGTTCTAAGTTTTGCCATATGTTGTTGTTTTTACATAAGTGCTGTTGTAATATGTTTATATAATTAATAGGATATCTTAGGTTATTGTCGAATATACTATAGACCATTAATGACAACATCAATTATTTGATCATGTTACATGTAGATCCTTCAAATCATAATTTGTAATGACAAGTTCCACATTTTCATCATAGATTCCGATATCATTGTATAATTGTACATCAAATAGGGAGTAGCAACAGCAAGTTCCTTTTTTTTTTTGTCATATCATTGTTCGAAGATACTTCAATTTATGTGTTCTAACGACAACTTTCATCTTTATCGTCATATTTTCTCATTTTATTGTCTGAATATACTTCAAACGGGAGGGTGCGACGACAACTTTCATTACTTTGCCATATCACTATCCTAGATTCTTATATTATTGTCTTTATCGTCATTATTTTTGACATAGAATTTGGCTCATACTTCATTGTTAGCGATGAAAATAATGAATAGAGAACCTTGACTATCATCATATATGTCACCTATAATATAATAGTTGCACTTTTCTAGAATGCTACTGATTTTTTTTTTCTCGAAAAGGCAGCTGTTATGCTATCTCTTGAAATGTAAATTTACTGTTGTTATTAATCTTTATCTGGGGAAAGAATTGTAGTAGAAAATCTTTATCTGTTGTCTTCTATTTTATTTAATTAGTCCACTAGAATTGGTGGTAAGAAGTTTCCGATGCAAAAACATGATCTTGGTGCCAATGCTTCAATATTGTTTTTTTTTTTTTGTAAGAAAAGAAAAAGATATTAACTTCTTCTCCTTTCTCTATTTTATCAGGGTTGTTCAACCTGCCTGCTTTTAGCAGTAATGCAGATTTCAATGACACGGCAACTGTGCAATCAGTTTCTGCTCACAAGACTGCAATTGCCCCTCTCGTGTCGGGAGCTCGGATAACCATTACTCCCATTGGCGGAGAAGAAGACCCTTTGGAGAAGAAGAAGAAGAAGGTAAGAGTAACCAGGGATGCAAGTCTGGGGAGGAACATGATAGGGGAGATGCCATGTGTGTCCACCAGGGGAGATGGCCCAAACGGGAGGAGGATCGAGGGCTTCCTCTACAAATACAAAAAGGGAGAAGAGGTAAGAATAGTATGTGTCTGCCATGGCAGCTTCCTAACCCCAGCTGAGTTTGTTAAGCATGCAGGAGGTGGTGATGTAACCCACCCTCTGAGGCATATCGTCGTCAATCCCATGCCATCAGCCTTAATGAGTTTAAGATGATGATTACCTATGAAAGATGGACGAATGTTACTTGCAGGTAACAAGTCTTCTCTTTGTTGCGTCTTCCGATTGGCCTTACGGAGGAGAGTTGGTAACAAGTCTTTGTGGTAGGAGCTTACTTAATCTTCTTCTTGGAGGAGGCACAGACTTTATGAGGGCCTAATGAGTCCTTTCTTTGCTCTTTGGTTTCTTTTCTTTTCCACTCCCTCAGTCAAAGAGGAAATTAGTGGACCAACCTCGAAACCCTCTCGTCGCTCGGATGATCCCCCAACTCCTCTCTCGAGAGCATGACTGTAATCAAGAACGTTCAATATAAATTGGACGGGTGACGCATGACTGTAATCACAGGGTCACACGTCGACCGGTGTATTTACGATCCGGTCGAGTTGAGGGCCGGCCCAACTTACCTTCTTTAAACGGGCTTTCATTTGAGACCCTTAATGGGCTTCATAGCGGCCTTACGCCCAATAGGCGAGTAATACAAGTGCAATTATTGCTTTACATAATTATATGATACAATAATACGTAATTATGGCTTTCCACGTTCACCTTCAATACAAATACCTTTTCTTGAATAATAAAATTATTGTCTTTATAATGGCATAAAAATGATGCAATAACTTTTCGTAATGATTTATCGCAAACATATCTATTCTTTAATTTCTTTCTTTTTATCCTTTTTTGCTGCCTACGTATAGTATAGTCCAACGAACACAGGAATTATAGAACTCGACCAGAAAATTTCTTCTGAAAATTAGGCCGACTGAATCACCAAGAAAAATTTCATGGGTGATGTGGTGGAACCATTCTTGTTTGCAACATTTGGGTATAATAATATTAGATAGTAAAAGCTCTTAGGTACATACAAAAATAGTAAAATATCTAAAAAAGAACTCTTTGCACTCTATCACAAATAAAGCACCATAAACAAGGAGAAGCCAAGTAATGTCTATATGAACTTTGCTTTAATGTTAGAGCAATCTCTTAAATATTGACTTAATAGATTCTGATCTACGATATATCCAGGAACAAACACTAAACTTCTTGACATCTGAAAGGTCAACGAGTATTTAAGCCTAGAACATTGTAAAACAACTATACATGGACATGCTGTCGAATGCAAATAAAAGACGCCAATTAGATGGATGATGAAAGCAGGCATGTACATCTAACCTGAGTTGGCAAGGCATTAGCTTTACATGAACTGATTGATGCTTGAGATAACACTACAGCTGTGGGGTAATCAGATGTCCAAGTCAAAGCCATACCAGCAAATAAGGCCAGTTGACGAACAGAAGACGATTGATCAAAGTTTTAATTGCACTTTTTCCCCACATCCATCTTGGTCTAGGGAGGCCTTTGGTGTCATAGAGACCCAAGAATCACCATCCATCACATAATGTGGCATTGATAAGCTGAGATCTGCAGAAATAGGTTGCCTCATTTCGCCATCATCAGCCTTGTCAATTGTTCCATCCTCAGACTTCGGAGGAAAAAGTGTAAGTACAGTACCTGATCTTTGTGATACATCAAGGAAGCTTGATGGACTGTCACAAATCTTAGACACTGGATG